CTCATCACAATGTGAATTATGTGACTTGTGTGGGAATAGTAGAGGTGGAGAATACTAGGATGTGGTGAGCTTCTTTAAGAAAAGGCAATGGCTGATACATTTGACATGAGTAATCTGTTAATTGAATACAAAATAAAGAGTCTCATACAAATGTATTTAAAAATTAAAATAGTGATACAATATAGTGTACAATGAATAGGGATTAGCATAACAAATGCTGGCATGTCTACATTATTGAATAATGGACAGCCATGAATTTTATACTAAATAAACATTTACTGTTTTAGAAATTGCTCACACTAGTGAGCTACATTAACGAGTGTGTTATAAATTTCAATGTCATGATCCTAAATATGAAAAAAAATTGATATCAAAATATAAATGAATACATTTACAGGCAAACAAGCATATATATTCCCACAAAGAAATCAATCACATCATGTTGGAAAGGGCAGAAGAGGTTTCTCAGAGCTTTTTCAAACAAAAAATATTTCTCAAAGCCGAAAGCATACATTTCTAGGTCTTATCTCAATTGTGATCTTAGTGAAATGTATTACAAGCTCACATTATACAGTGTGCTATGATGGGGCTTGGCATCAGAGAGACAGTTTCAGACTCTATCCCACTATTATTATTGCATTTTTAAAGATTTTATTTTGAGGTAATTTCAGCATGTGGAAAGAGGACATTGTTTTGCCCAAGAACTGAAATTTAGGACTGTTTACAGCTGAGTAACTATGTATTCTGCTGAACTACATTAGCTATACTTTTCCTCAGCTAAACTCAGTGCACTGAAAGGAAATATGGATAAAATAGAAAAGGTTCCCTAAATGCCTTTTCAGACACTCACTGCCATGTAATCCAAGCCTGAGAAAGGTAATAATCCTTTACATTTTAAAGTACAATTCATTGAGGAGAAGCCAGAAGTCTGGGAAATACAGCATATCAGTGAAGATTTAAAATATTCATTCAATATATGAATGAATCAATAATCTATTAAGTCAATGCATATTTGAACAGAATGTATTAAAATTTATCTATATAACTTTGAAGTAAATTTGCATATCCCTTAATTATACATTTAATATACATTATCTTGTAAATTACTAGATCAATGTAATCTACTAAAAGCTTGAATATTATTCTAAAAGGCATTAAATATAAGCAAGTCTTTATATAAATATTATAGTAAAGAAAACTTTGAACAAAGGGATTAAACTAAGTCCTTTATAAGTTTCACTGGAGAGAGGAAAGAGGTTTGGCCTAAATTATTTTTGTTTGTTTGTTTTAAAGATTTTTATTGGGGAGTTGGGGGAAGGGGAACAGACAAGTTGCTGTCCTTTTGTTCTTCAGTCTAGTTGTGGCGGATGTCGCTTCACTGGCCCAAGTTGGCACCATCATTGCGCTCTTCCCGGCTGAGGCAGATCAGTCACCGGCCTCTGGTCGGCCGCTCACTGTGGCTGCTGGCCGCTCACGCTGGCTGCTGGCTACACACGGTAGCCCATGGCAACCCACTGCAGCAGGGGCTGCAGCCTACGCCGTCGCCCCGACTCACGGCAGCCCAGCTCCAGGTTGAGCTGTTGTTCAGCATCTTAGCTGTAGAGGGCAGTGTCACTGACCCTTATATGTGGGATCTGAACCAGGGCCCTCTGGCGTCCCAAGCCAGCTCTTAACTATCGTGCCACTTGGCCAGCCCGAGGCCTAAATGGTTTTAAAACATCTTATAATCTTGCATGTCTCTTGGATGCTAGCTTTCTTCATCAAAGAATACTCAGTAAAATGGGGAAAGGCAGAAAATAAATATTCAAGATTCTAAAAGTTCTATAGTTGGAATACATATCTTCTCAGCCCTTGAAACACTATCTTTACTTTTTAATTTATTCACTCATTTGTTTATTGAAAGAACATCTCCCTATCCTATCCACAGCACTGAATCCCCACAGCCAATGAGCCCATGTGGTACTTAAGCCCAGCTTCACAAGACAAAGTAAACTAGTGACAAACACTTTATGCACACCAGAGGTTCTCTTTCTCATAGGATGCTGAAACTGAGCACAGGAGATATGCCCTGCTGGTGGTCAAATTTATATCCCATAAATTCAAGGTTCTCAGTGAACTGTGCTCTGCCATGACAGCAAGGAATAGAGAAAGCTTGGCTTCGACATGGAAGAGTGAAGTACAGAAAGTAAGCAACAGGAGAGACTGCGCCAATGATGAAGTTCTGCTAATTTCTGGTCCCTGTCCGTTTCTGAGGGAATCACCTTTCTATTTCAGCTGCAAGGTTTCCTTATCCCAAAACCATGTGCCCTTATCCCAAATTCTGCATTTGAACATAAGGTAGCTTACATTAGTTTTGGTTAGTTGCAACCATTGTCTCATAGATTCAAGTTCTATATATGAGCTATTGTCAAATGAGTCATTTGAAGAAAACTGGTCCCTAAATGCTCCTAAAATGCCATACTCAAAGGGCACAGGAAGACAAGATAAAAAGCATGCAGCCTTCTCTACAAACGAGTCAAAGAAAACACCATCAGTTAGGATTCTAACTCAAGCTTGTCAAAGCACAGAATATTCCATTTTTCTGTATTGCATTTCTCTGCAATGCCATTCCTGGATCTTCATTTTTTAATAGGGCTATTATAATTAGGCTGTGATAAGGAAGCTCCCTTTCAGAGACATAGTCTGTTTTCTTTCTTGGTTTCTCTATATCCTTCTTTGATTGTCGGTGATTAATAACAGTGTCACTACGTTTTGTAGATGTGGACTGGCAACATTAACCAGTGGATTCCTCTGAAACAGTCTGAACCAGCACACGCAATAAATCATGCCTATTGTTCAGGCCAGAGTAAAATTCTCCGCTTACACTGGAGGAGTTCTTTCACACAGAGAAGGTAAAACTCACAGGACGTCTGAATTTTACCCTTAGGAGTAACTGAGATTTCCTGTTTGTTATTAATGGATATATATGCTTTTAAATATAAACATCTCAATTATTGTCATTTAAGTAAATTGCGCTTAGTTTCCAGCAAGATACTTAAAAGTACACAATTATATAATATTATGATGAACTAATTTAGATATAATTTCATCCATCACCTCCTTTCAATATTAATAGAGAGAACATTACTTCCCCCAGGTCACATAGAATATTAGTCATTTAGTTAGGAATTAAATCCAATTCTGGTAACTCTTTGTACAGCTGTTTTATTGAAAAATATCTTATATAACCTTTCAATTATGGATAATCAACACAAGGGTTTTACTCTTCTGGATTATTTGGATAGAACTCCAATAGAACACAAAAGCAACCGTTAAGAGATAAAGACAGAGGTTTTAATTGACATCAGCCATTCATTTAGGAAGGAGATGCTAGATAAACATTCATTTATTGACTTAACTAAATATTAAAATGCAGCTCCATAGATCCCTAAGGAAACACTTGTAGTTCAGTGCTGGTACGAATAAAAGAAAAGACAAATATGACAGCACTAGTGGCTTCTTTTTTTTTATAGATTATACTTATAGTATCATTTGCAATAGGAGTAAGAAAATATCTTGAATTAACCTTAAGAGTATCTTAATTCCCATAGCTCGCAATTTATTTTTGTCTTCTTGGGGGCATGATATGTATGCCCTTGTAACATTAGTTAATTCCCTTTACATTGGAGAGAAAAGCTGTATAATTTGCTTCATTTTGTTTGTTGGTTTGTTTTGTCTTCTTTCCCCTGCAAGAAGGCACTGTCTGAGATTAGGGCACACATAATTTTATAACATTTCTATCTCCTTTATATCTTTAGTTTCAATGAATAGGCTGTCCTATTTCTATTTCCACTGTACCAGTATAAACCTTATATTTTGAATAATTTTTATTTAAAGATAATTTATCTTAGTCAGTGCATATATATATATATATATATATATATATATATATATATATATATATTGCCCTCAAATAACTTTTCAACCTATACTACATTATTGGAATTCCAAGTACCCCAGGTGAACTTTTCCCTAGGATTAATATTCAGTTAATTTTCATTGATTTTTATCTAATAGACTTGTTGTAAGGGTTAAAGAAATAAATAAAAGGAACTTAAAATTCATTGATAGTTATTAAATAACATAAAATGGTCATGTATTATAATAGCTAATATTTCCACTAAACTCATCAAATGAAAGGTTCTGTCCTCCTTAAAAAGTAGAAAACCTAGACTCATTTATATGGTGCCATACTAACATAAAAATTAATAATTACTGATATAATTTTTGTATTGGGGATTTCAATTCTACTGGATTAAATGAAACATATATACACACTATTTTTTTTTTCATTCAACTTTCTAACATTTCCTGCTGGTCATTCGCTCCCCTTTCTCTATCTTTCTGTATATACACTAAACTCCATTACAGAAAGAAATTGTCTACTTGACTGAAATGGATGGGAGATAGCACTGCCAGGTTATATTGCCTTGGACTCAAAAATAGGTACTGCTGCTGTGCTCTGTTAGGGTAAGCCCCATCATTTTGTCATTTTTCCCTCTAATGACTGTCTACCTTCCATATTATTAGTTTCTTATATCTGCTGACAAAAATTTTTTATGAACTTGCCAGAATCATACAACCAAGAAGTACCTCATTCCTTGTTCTTTCACATGTATTTAAGTGGTCCCTTGTTCACAGGACATTTAGGCTACTGACACTTTATCATTATTACAAATAATAGTGCAATATGTACTACTGCATATCTACTAAGTGCTAGTATGTATGAAGGATAACTCCTAAAATTAAAATGATTGTATCTAAAGATATATTCTTTTTATTTTTAAAAATTTTTTTTGTGGTTCTGCAAACTATTATTTTAATTTTACAATGAACCACAGACATTTTTTCCATGCAAGGGATGAAAATCTGCTACTGAAGTGTAGAGGGCTGCAGCTACATAATAAGAGTAACACCTAAAGCAAAGTATTAGCATAAGGTTACAGCCCAGAGCCTGGCAAATGCCTGAGGGGACACTACACAAAAGGAATGTCTTCAAAGCCCCTTTGTGGGGCCCTGCAGCCATCCCTGAGTTCCCTTGGGCCCCTTGGGTGGAAGGGGTCCTGTAAACTTTTTTGCATCCAATAAACCCCCCCAATTTCTGTCTTGTTTTCTTCACCTCATCCTCTACTCTAGCCATCTCATCGAATTCTCTTATCATCTCCTCATTGCTCAAATTCATGTCATGAATGGCCTCCTTGTATTCCTTGAGGCACTGAGCCAGCCCCTTGTTGGTTTTCTTTTGGCTTTCCTGGGTACATCATCCCCAGCTGGGCGCTTTCCTGCAGCCCTTGGTTCGCTGGCTGCTTTTCCTTCTTCTTTTGGCTTTCCCTCATTCTCCAGCTTCCCCTCGCTCTCTGGCTCTCCCTTTTCTTTTGGCTTTCCCTCCTCTGGATTTTCCTTATCATTAAGTATTTCCTCATCTGTCTTTCCCTTGTTTTCTAGCTTTTCCTCATTTTCTAACTTCTTGTCTTCCAGAGTATGAGCTGTTTCTGGCTCTCCCGCATCCTGTGCCTGCTCTTGGTTTTCCGTCTTTACTTGGCTCTCAGGTATTGCTTCATTTTCACTGCAGAGTTTTTCCATGTTGAGATGTCTCCTCCATGCAGACCTGACCAGCCACGGAATTAACTGATCCCCGAGGGGCTTCTGCAGGATAACTTGGCTTATGTTCCAAAGCCAAACAACGTGGATAGATTTAATCATGGTAACAATTTTCTTGCTTGGCTTCTCAATTGGGGCAGGGGCTGAATCACAGTGAGTCCAGAGAGAGGGCGAGGCTCTGTAGTTTGCGGACCAGGAGGCAGGCTCTGTCCGTCCCACTTAAGCACTTGCACGTCTCCCTTGAGGCCCTCCTTCGGCTGAGGAATTCTCCTTCCTCCCAAATAGTGACTAACCTAAAGATATATTCTTTATATTAATGTATTTAGATGTCGACAACTTTTGCACTAAAAAATATGCTGCAATTTATACCCATAACATGTAAAGGAAAGTGCCTGTTACTCTGTGCCCATTCCAACTCTAGGTTTTATTTATTTTTTTAATTGCCTGTCAATTACATGTGGAAAAAAAATACAGGGGAATTAGTGTATAAACTGCTTACAGCAGTCCTTACCGCACAGAAGGGTTTGGAAATCTGAAAGTATAAATTCGGGTACATTTTCTCCTTTGCTTAAGAGGTGTGAATACTTGGGTATAGTTTTAAAAATAATAATAACAATAAAAACATTTTTGACATTTTTTTTTCTTTTTATGAAAGTTCCAATTAACCTTACATTTTTTGACAATGGGGGTGGCTTATCAGTTGGTAAACTGTACTGAAAAAGAAAAATCACATATTTCATCTTAACTGGATTAGTCATCAGAATATCGACTGTTGAGCCTGACAGCCCGATTCTAAATCCTGGCTCTACCATTTACTGCATGGCCCTTGGAAAGTTAATTAACATTTTGTGTCTCATTTCCTCATCTTTAAAAGGGAATAATGAAACTGTGTGTGTATTTATATACATATATGTATATATAGATACTTTTTTGTAAGGATTAAAGGAAGATGTAGTTTTTAGAACATTGTCTGATATGAATTTTATTTTCATAGAATGGATTAAAATAATTCTGAACATTGTGCATCAAATTATAACCATATTAATCAATAGACAAATATTCATTAGCATATTCAACATAACGTTTTGTGACAAAAGTATTAGCCATAGAAGAGAAGGCAATATATATTTAAAATTATATATATGCAATGAAAATATATTTCCTGCTTTTGGGTAATTAAAGGTCTATTAGAAGAAGCAAGTCATATATTGTAAGAGGTCTGACAATTAAGTTCGCAAACTTGTTGCAATGATGTTGCTAATCTTTTTCGATATCAGAGGGATTATTCATTATGAATTTGTGCCAAATGGACAAACAGTTAACCAAGCTTACTATTTGGAAGTGCAGAAAAGGCCACATGAAAAAGTTAGACGACCTGAACTTTTTGCCAATTCATGGCTCTTGCATCACGACAATGCACCACTCACATGGCACTGTCTGTGAGGCAATTTTTAACCAGTAAATAAATAACTGTATTGGAACACCCTCCCTGTTCACTTGATCTGGTCCCCAATGACTTCTTTCTTTACCCAAAGATAAAGGAAATATTGAAAGGAAGACATTTTGATGATATTCAGGACATCAAAGGTAATATGATGACAGCTCTGATGGCCATTCCAGAAAGAGTTCCAAAATTGCTTTGAAGGGTGGACTAGGTGCTGGCGTTGGTGCACAGCTTCCCAAGTGGACCATAGTGATATTCAGGAATGGCGTATATAGCACTTTTCCTAGGATGAGTTTGCAAACTTGATTGTCAGACCCCGTATTACTCAGCCATAAGAAAAAATAAAATAATGCCATTTGTGACAACATGGATGGATTTTGAGATTATCATGCTAAGCAAAATAAGTCAGACAGAAAAAGTTGAGAACCATATGACTTCACTCATATGTGGGATATAAAATTGAAAGCAAAAAAGAAGTCAAACAAACAAATGAACAAAAACTCATGGACACAGATAACAGTTTAGTGGTTACCAGAATGTAAGGTGGTGGTGGTAGGGGAGGGTAAAGAGGGTCACATGTATGGTGATGGAAGGAGGACTGACTCTGGGTGGTGAACACACAGTGCAATACATAGATGATGTATTATAGAATTGTGCACTTGAAACCTATATAATTTTATTAACCAATGTTGCCCCAATAAAATGTATAAAATAAAAAATAAAATTAACAAAACAACAAAAATGTAAAAATCTGGGAAAAAATGCATGAGCACTAGAAGAAATGCAGACCAGGAATTCATTTTTGTAAAGTTATTTTTACCCGGTAAAAGTCTGCAAAAAATGTGTTTATCTTCCTATAGCAATTTATTGTTCATATCAGTTAATTGCTTTTCTAGACTCTTCCCCTAAAATGCACAAAATTCATTCTAGCCTCTTTCTGCAAGTGGTTTATACAAATTTAGATAGAGAGATACAAAGATGATAGATAGACAGACCTGACTATATGTGAACTTTTTTCTCCCATAGGATATTATAATTATCTGTTAAAGATATGGCCTCTTGATAGACTAACACTTAAATATTGATCAGTATTTTGCATTTATATATGCTAATTCTATAATTTCATTTGTCATCATGCTATCGGTTTACTTGCCCCAATCTTTAGAATACAGAGTCACAGATTCTATTTCCATGTCTGCTTTGAATTGATCCAAATATTGGCATTTATGTCCCTTCAAACAAATTGCAGTAGGGTCATAAAAATGGAAAAGATTAAAGGACAGATTGCACAAATCTATATCCCTCGAAAGTAAGTGCATTAATATTTTAAATGCTTCCCTACGAGCACTGTTAATTTTGAGAGGAAAAATGTATAAGTATTTAATATCTTTTAACAATAAATTTAATTTAGGTAAACCCATAGATAGGACTTTATAATCAACAAAGTTGTCATCAAATTAAAAGCACATTTTAAATTATAATCTTAGAATTATAAAGACAGTTTGCATTTCAAAAATGTTATTCTGTACATAACTTTTCCCTTTTTGCAACAATATTTTTATTCTATGTTTTGTCATTTCTCACTTGGATTAATAGATAATTATTTCACTTGGGTGCACTGCCCTTATTATTTTCCTTTAAATGTATCTTTCATATTTTTTGCTGGAATTATTTTCCTAAAGATATGTGGATATTGCAGTCCCCTGCTTAAATAAGTTTTCATAGCCCTCAATTAAAATATAACAATAAATCTTTCATATAACTATTTTATGTTAAGTTTGTTTTATATACTTACGTGCAGGATATTCTCGTATCAACTAGATATGAACAACTGCCCAACATTGTAGTGGCTTTTAATTAAAATGAAAAAGGGAATCTCTATTACTAAGTAGAATTCCAAATAGTATAGTTAATTTCATGATTCATTATATCCATAAAAGAAAAATGGAAGCCGAGAAATACTTCAATTTTGGATGGTGATTCATGGAATTGCAGGATAATCAGAGAAATGGCTGGGGAAATTTAAAGGGCTTGTTTTAAGTGTTTGGAAAAACTGTATATGGTTAAGAATAAACTATAATGAGAGAGAATTTCTACCCTAGCAAATTCATATCAAAAGTCTATTGTACATGCAGCTCTAAATAATCAGGTAGACAAGATGATCCACTTATAAATGGCGTTCATCTTCCCTCTCTTGCCAATTTGTTCCTATTTAATTAGATCCTAATCATTGGCTATGATCACAGGAACAGAGATTACACATGAGCTTATCCACATGGATTTAGCCTCCCTTAGACTCATCTTTCTACTACCATGGTGTGGTATCCAAAGACCTGTAGTTTTGGCTAAAGAAAATGGCTCACATAACCTTGGAGCATCAGTCAACTTCATATTTTAAATCGATTATATTAATATTTTATGCTTTATGGTCATGAAATTATTTGTCCCTGCTGAAATAGAAACATAAAAATCGCTGCTAGTAATAAACTTTACACTTTACAAGTTATAGAATATCAATATTGAATCATGAAAGAAATTCATGAGTGTAGGATGGACATCTCTCAGAGTATAAGAAATCAGAACGATAATTTGGGGACAGTGGAAAATTATATTCTTAGTTGTACCAGAAACAGTTACTCTGTTAGATGAGCACATTTTTAGAACTGCATCTATGTAAGAATGCTTGATGGTTTTGGACAGGAAAAGCAAAGACTAAACTGGACATACATCACTATTTCTTATTCTGTTTGGTCCATATTCCACCAAAAGCCCTCTCTAGGTGGTTAGTTCCTTTAATATACAATGACTGCCTGCTATTCAGCTCAAGCCTTGTGAATTCTGGGACTAAGAAAGGGGTGTGGTAGTCTCTTGGTTGTGCCTCCTTTTCAGCTAATTTCTCTGTTGTCGCAGAGATCATCTGTTCCTCTGGATTTGGCTTACTCTGAGGCTAGTTTTCCCATCTTTGCCATTTTAATTTACTCAGGCATAAACTGAGCTTTGATTTTCAAGTACTTTTATCGATCTGATCCCATGGGCTTTCTAATTTCTGTTCTGCTGATGCTATCTTTTCTCATTTTTGTGCTCCTGTGGATTTACTTTTTGAAAATATATATTCTGGTTACTTTTGGGTAATTTGGTGTATGAAAAGAAGTAGGCACATGCATCCAGTCTAACTTTAGTCTAAATAAGTTAAACCAAGTTCAAAAGATAATACTCTAAAATATGGTCTTTAATATATACTTTTAAAGTCTATCTTTTCTTAGATGGGATATTTTTTGCTTGTTTTAGACTTCAGTTTATCTACACGTACTCTAGAGAGCCTTAGGAGTCCCTGAAGGCTGGGTTTGGGAGTCAGTCCTTGTTCAAACAGAATTTCCTATATATCTAATCTATTATAATATCTGCCATAATCTATTTTAATTGTCTATTTACTGTTATTTTTCTACAATCGGATTTTAAGCTCCTTGAGATAAATAGTTCACATTCATCACAGTCTCTTGAAGTCTTGACATTTTGATATGCACTGAATGAATCTGGGGAATAAATACCACATAGACAAACTGATAAATTTTACAAGTTTTAGTTCAAATAAAATTATCCAGCTATGGCAGCCACAGAA